CTACTGCTAGTTCTCCTGCTGCTGCTGCTACTACGACGACTACTACTACGACGACGACAACAACAACAACTGCTCTACTACTTACTACTACCACTGACTACTACAACTAGTTCACTAGTTTCTGAACGCCAGCCGCCTGCGGGGCACGGGATCACACAACCCTGAACCCTACACCCCAAACCCTGAGCCCTAAGCCCCAAACCCCAAACCTGAAACCGTAAGCCCTAGATCAACCCCACACCGCTTCTTTCCGAGGTCCAGCTTTGGAAGAATGTTGGGCCAGCTGGGGCTCGGTCGGTCGGGCTCCGGCTATTGCGGCAGTGGGCACGAGGCATCAGGGGTTCCAGGCTCTGTTTATGAGGGGAACCCATAGCAGAGGGAGCCGGAGCACTGGATCTCTAAGGGACTCTAAGGCTAGGTTCATGTAGGGTTTGAGGGCACAGGTGTATGTGCTGGGTGTCGAAGGGCTTCTGCTGGGTCCAAAACGCCTGTCAACTCTCAAGTTACTCAAGTTATGGTTCAAGCTGAGGGCTTTCTGCAAATCCGTCAACTGCCTTAAGCATTGGAAACAAGGTATGCATGATGCTATCATCAAGAACAGGCTGCTGTATGGACTTGAAGCTGTACATCTGACACCGGCCCAGAAGAGTTAACACATTTCAGCTGCGAGGCTTGCGGAAGGTTTTAGGAATGGATACCACTTGTGTAAATAAAGCAAATACGAAGGCAAGAGTCATTGAGAAAGCTAATGCGGAAATAGGTGGACAAAAGGAGGTAGAACTGCTTTCAGAATTTTTGATGGAAAGACACGCCAAGCGGGCAGGAGATAATCTGCGCACGCCCCAAGAAGACCCTTTACGCCAAGCGCAGATGTTCCACATCGCCAGGGGGAGATTAGGAGTTGCCTAGGCAAATTTGGTTGTTCTACACAAACAAGATCACTCGCAAAACATACACGGCGCGTCCCTTTGCACACAAACTGGCAAAACCAGTATATACAGGTATGCACTCAACCGGCAGTTTTTAAGCCGCCCCATGTGCCCACTGTCTCACCATCATGCCAGAGAGGCGGGAGAAAATGGCAATCCAAAAAGCCACCCAACTCAACTTCCTAAGCCCGAAGTATCACGTGTGCGTTGGACCTTTGAGAGAAGTTGTGCAGTTCGAGTTTGAAAACGGGAGGATCAAACTCTCCGATCAGTGTCAATGTCTTGCGAAGGCAACACCAAGCACCTACAATCGCAGTGGCCTGGACAACGGTCCGTAATCAGCTGACCTCCGTGCCAGCCGACTGAGGAAGCGAGCATGAACAGAAGGTGTTAAAAGAAAACCGCAGCCCTAAACACAATGCCCCCAAAGTCAATGGCAGGTATGGACGTTGTAGTTTGCCTCACGGACAGCGATGCCGCTCCCGATCCGGGCTGGACGGAGGTGTGGCGCTCTGTGCATTCTGATCTCGAACGATCCCCGAATCCTGAAGCTCCTAAGCTTCTAAGAGATCTTGCCTGTCGTGAGGCCAGTGTTTAAGTCAGGCTCAGCGTGCAAGGCCCACTGCTGAGGGTTCAAGGTTTTTGCAACTTGTGTCTAAGGTCTAGCAGAAGCTTGGGGTACAGAGACCAGGGTTTAGGAGGTTCGGTTGAGGTCTAGGGTTTCACTCAGATGGAGACTGAGCATCAAAGGGCACCATTTCGAAGAGCCCTGACATCGTTTTTTTCCAGGTGGCTGGCCCCTATAACATATAGATCACCGATGTAGTTTCTCTGGATTGCTTATTATTGCTATGTATACTCTCAGGGACTCCAAGACCTTATCCATTTATATGTTAAGGCTCTTATATTAGGTACACGGTTTCTCGGTTTGGCCTTTGGGTCTTTCCGTTGCAAAGGCTCGACGATTGCAGAGCCTGTGTGATTTTAGTAGAACCTATAGCCCCAAACCCTGTGGGCCCGCATATTAATTAAACCTGTTTAGTGACCGTTGTTGAACCGTTTCCCTAAACCCTTCAGACCATGCACAACTATTGCACAGATTTCGAAAGCCGCTTCAAATTCGGTCAGTGGAATTGCGAGGAGCTGAATGGCTTTGGGGTATTTTAATTACACTATAACAAACAGGATTGCTAACTTATTCAGGCTTCCCTACAGGAGTCAATGTATCCTTGAATGAGGATACGACCTTTGAAATCAAGTGCATTTCGGCTTTTCCACAGCTATCTTTGGCTATGAGGGGTTCTAGCTAAGTAAGGGGCCGCGCCGTGTCCATCGCCGCCGCAAGGGGTTGCAGCGGCATGCAGGCATGCAGGCGAGATGCAGGTGGCATGTGCCGTGTCCACCGCCGGCGAAAGGGGTGCAGCAGCATGCAGTCGGCATGCAGTCGGCATGCAGGCGGCATGCAGGTGGAAGGGGGTGCAGTCGGGCGCGGAGTGCAGCGGGTGGGGCTGATTGCCGGTTCGAAAGCTAGCCAACGCCAGCAAGAAGTGCACACGCCGGGTCAAAAAAAACGCTCCTGGACCCGCCAAAGTTGCCAAAGAAGTATCAACGAACTTTAGTTGATTTCTTTGGGCGCGAAGCCTCCAAGACGCCAGCACAAACGTCCCGATTGACGTACAAGATGTACGATGAGTGATCGACTGTCACTATCAGGGATAAGAAATTCTTGAGTTTGACAAGCGCCCGGCCCAGTGACCCGAAAGAATGGAAAGGCCGGGTGAGTTTAAATTCCGCCACAAGCCGCCATTGAGGCATGCAAAGAACAGTGAGCCCAGACAGTGCTTGTCGCAGATTGGCAAGCCTGAGCCTAAAACAGCGCTTGCGGCGCCAAACTACCTGGAGGAAGAGCCAACTTTGAGCTTCCTCGTCAAGACCTTTGACAACCATTTATGTCCGAAACCTTTCTGATGCTTCCCTAGCTATCTGGGGTCTTTACCGGTCTAACTTGTACCTTGGCTGCCCCAGGTATAAAAGAGCATAATTCCGACAGGTTTTTTGCTACGAAGCCCCGAGCCGAAATCTCGTGTTCCCCTGCAGGCGATGCTGAATGCTCAGAACACGAGGCTCGAGTTGGCTTAGGGCTTAGGTTTTAGTTTAGGGTTTAGGGTCATGGAGACATGCATGCGAACCATTCAAAAACTGCTGAAGCCTTAATCTCTTCTCTTGTCAGCAGCAAGACCAAAGTTCGTGGCTGACATTGTTCTGCTGGACCAGTATTGGGTGCTTATGCTGACATACGTGCTGTTTGAAGCCTATATAAGCTCCCTGAAGTTTGAGGTTTTCATATATTCCATCCCAACCTCACGACTCCTGACAAACCAGTCCAAAATCAGCAGAGCTGCAGAACCAGCAAGACAATAATCAAGAATGTCGACAGGCTGTTGCTGCCCTGGCGTAGATGTGCAATCGTAAGAGCCCATAGTCTGGCTGCGGTTGCCGTAAGTGCTTTTTTATGCCTTCTGTGGCAGTCTCAAGCCTGCGAAGCCTGAAGCTCAAGTCATTTCTTCGTCGTTTGCTTATTCTGTTGTGGCTTGCCAACCGGCATGGCACTCTCCATGCTCCTGCTGTTGTCGGCGGCCCTCACCTGCAGCTCCTTGGCCACGCGGATCGTGACGGTGGATGAGCCTGCGGGCAACCGCACACAGCAGCCCCTTGCTGGCTGCTGGGGGCGCACCTTTTTTGGCGGATTGGATGGTTGCCAGATTTTTACATCATACGATGCATGCACGAATCGCTATGTTTTCGACCGCTATCACAACAAATTCGGCGCGTGCCAGTGGTGGGGGGGCGTTCAATGTGTCTTCGACTACGAGCATGACATGCCTCCACTGCTACCGGAAGAGTGCGACAAGGGCTTCATCGAGCAGAATATTCCTGGCGGTTACACCAAATTTTACCGGGATTTCTGCATAGAAAGGCTCTGCATCATCCGACAAAGGGGGGGCTGGGATTCCGATGAAGGCGATTCCGATGAAGGCAAAGGTTTTTGGGATCAGATGCGGAATTTCAGATTCAGCTATTGGAAGTTTGTCCCTTATCCCGAAGCCGTTCCTGGCCCGCCGGACCGTCGTGGTCCCTGGCCTCAAGATTATGGGGGCCTGCGGTGGATGAAGCATCGGCTTCAGGGGTACGTGGGATGGGCTCAGGCCATCCAGGAGCGTTGCCCAGTGCCACCCGCATGGACCGGAGTGTGGTGGAGCCAGGATCTCTTTGCCGACCTGATCTACTCCGACGGTTCCGACCTCTACTGGTCCCAAAACCAGTGCCGACGGCGTTGAAGTCGTCTCAAGATGTTTCGAAGCGTCAGCACCCGTCTAGTCCAAGGCCTTCCCAAGCCGACACGAAGCCCAGCGGTGCTCCGAGCAAAATGCCCGAATCCCAGCCTGATCTCCCAACGGTCGCGCTCCGCCTCTTTGCATCCGAATACAAATTGACAATGGCAAGTGCTTGTGCATGTAGGGTTGACCTCCAGGCTCCCTAAACACTCTGCAAGCCCAAGGGACTTCCAATGCAAAGCGACCTCCGATACGAGGGTCCCCGTTCAAGACAAGCCGCTACAGCTTTTGGCAACCATGCTTTTAAAGACAGCTTCATATTCTCCAGCACTTCCGGTTAAATGATGCTCAGTCTACTGATTACTGCATTCGTTCTGTGTAATCGACTACCGTGCCTACCCTTGCTGCTTCTGCACGACTCCTGTGTTTCTAAGGCGGCTGCTCGGTTTCAGCTTGGACGTTTGTACTAGTTACTAGTCACTAGTCTTGGCCGGCAGTGTTGAATCTTACTGTTTGTGCTTCTGCTACTAGTTACTAGTGGTCAGTACTGCGGAGACTCCAACCTTTTGCTTGTGGGACAATTACTTGTCATGATGGTTGTTGCATGTAGTGGTTACTACCTCCATTAGCACGGTCATGATTACGGCGATCATTTGCAGCATCATTCTTGTTCTTGCCATCGCTGGGACTGCCGGGGCATCACCGTCAAGCCGTCGCTGTGCAGTCCCGGCATCGTCTCGGGCCCCACAATCTCGGTGGATAGAAGCGACTCGGCTGCCGTAGGATGGAAACGGCCTGGTCAGACTTGGGGCTTAGGGCCGGGTCTGGGATTCATGAGTGGGTGCAGCATGGTCGAATTAGTCTACTATCTGGTAATCGGCGGACTTGCTCACTCGACTTATCTCCCCGAAGCAGGTCTCAATTATGTTGCGGCGCTTCACTTCGGCAGAAGACACGTTCGAAGAACTACCAAAACCTTTCTGCGAGCTGTAAAAATGGGATATGATATGTTCAGCCCTGTCTGGAGTATCTAAGGATACTCATGTAGGCAGCAGCCTGAGTTCTTTTCCTACGGAAGGCACCTTGAGTTCCCTGAGCGCTGTCAGCTGAGCGCAAACTCCGCGGATTCAAGTAGATCTTGCATACGACTGCTGTATCACATTCTGTCGGCGCAACGCTCATGGCGGTTTCGGGCTCAGGGGTCTCGGTTGACGTTAGGAAGGCATGATTCTAGGCCCCCGTGGACAAGTCCCGACTAATTGGAAGCCAAAATAGTTGGAATATTCTAGGTATTGAAGGTTATTAGTAATAGTAGATCCCCAAACCCTGTCTAATGTTCGGGTCACTATACTACTTCCCGTCTTCATTCCATCAGCGGTTTGGGCCGGGAAGTTGGCCTCGCCAGGTTTGCAGTAGGCTTAGGGTTGGGTTCAGGGTTCATGGATTACACTACGTTCTACAGCATCGCCTTCAAGGACTTAGCAGAGGTCAGCAAACACGAACATCGCCAAGTTCGCCAAGCCTCAGATTCCACGTCTGTTGAACACGTGGGGACAAGGCCACACCGGCCGCTTCCACGACCACTTCGGCAACCTCAATGGTCGTGTCCTGCCTGCAAGCTGAGAGAAGCCCCTAGATCCGACCCTGAATTTAGGACGTAGATGGCCCTAGCCAGAGACTCGGAAGTTGAGGGTGAAAAGACAAGGCTTCAGGGACAAGGGTTGATCGGATTCAAGGTTTAAGACGCCAGGAGTATCTCCACCACAGGGGCACCCGGTAGAAGTCCTTGCAGAAATCGTGTTCTAAAATCCCATGTGTTGATCTGCAGGGGGCTTGAGGCAACGTGACACACGGGAGCATCTTTTCAGGTTGCATATGAAGGCTGCGATGTCTCTGGCTTTGAACTTGATCTCCAGGAAATACTTCCCCTTGAGTCGCGCCCCGTGCGTCGCTTCGCTGACACTAAACCGCCAGACACCTAATCCGAACCTCGAGACTCCATACGCAAACCCCCCGAAGCCTTAAGGCCGACACCCAACATCTACTGTACCGACCAGAAATCCAGAACCTCACGAGGAATAGCCAGGTGTCGGTTCGAGATGTAGCTGTTGCTAGACGATTCAGGATTCAGAGTTTCGGGGCCTTGAGTTGAGGAGTCGTATATGGATGATCAGAACAGTGTTGCTCCGTAGTCTGTGATTAGGCATTTCCACCGAAATTCACAACAGCCGGGGTCAGTTCCATGAAATGAGAGTCGGTCGCACTTTCGGGTGTTGGTTCGGTCAAGCTTTGCAGTATGCCTTCTACAAGTAGCAGTTTCTGGTCGGTAAGCTTGGCTCCTGAATCATCGAAACACCAGCATCTTAGGGTTTGATATTTTGAGGATTTAGCGCTTTAGCTTGCAGGGCTTCAGGGTTTAAGGTACCCTACAGTGCCCTACAGCCTCAAATATCCAGAAGGATGGACCTGGGACGACGAGAAGGATGTGCTGCTCTACGGCTGCTCCTCGATCCTGCTGGAGTGGCATTTAGGTTCTAGGGTTTCAGGATGTTTCAGGTTTAGGCCTCAGGGTTTCGGGTTAAGGGTTTAGGCTTTCGTCAGAGTGTTCCTTGAGCTTTCGGGTCTGGACCCCAAAGCTTGAGGAGTTCAATAGTTACTGTTCCAAGGTGGTGTGAAAGGATCCAGTGGCCAGGAACCTAGCTGCGGCATGGTAAGAGGCAAATTTGGCATCCGCAGATGCAGTTGGACCTGATCCTGGTGTAATCCCCTGCGCTTGCCTGGAGTAACCAAGGTACCTCTCAAACAACAGGGACATGTGCTTAAAGGAGCATTGGTCACTCTAGGTAGACCTCGATCTGAGAATGGAAAACCCCTGGTATCTGCCACAACCAGGCACCTGCAATTTCAGTGTCGATCTCAACTCCATCGGCGACGTGCCCTGGCGGCAGGGCCAGGTTACAGTCCAGACCTTGGGCTCCGGGCTGCTTCCGGTGCTCAACAAAATAGGGTCCCTATTTAGATACCGAAATAGTACGGCACCCTTGCAAAACGGACCCTAAAAGGGACCCTTGCAAGGTTTGTGACATGTCCTTAGGTCAGATATGGTAGAAGACTGGAAAGTGTCTCGTCGTCCTCGCCTGGCTCACGAAACTGTTCCCAACTCTCCCAACAATTACGAATTTTGCAGTTACTCTCTACGGTTCCAAGTAGCGAACGATGACCGGCTCCCCCCATAGAGTCGTGTCCTCCAGGCTCTTCGGGGAGTTGTTGGCAGACTCTCCGGTTGGTGGGCCGGTTTACGCACGGTGTGGGAGGAAGTTCCGCGTCGGGGCTTTCGCGTCTTCGAAGACTCAGGGCCCCTGAAAGTAAGGTTTCAGGTTCAGGGTCTGTCTGCATCAAAGGTGGCGGCAGATTCTTAAACCCTCTGAGCATACTTGGCTCCCTCAGCCGTAGGCTATAGGTGTTCAGGTAATTCAGAGCTCAGTAGTGTAACGACCCGAAGCCCGATCACATCAGGCGGAGTTCGACCCGATCTTCTCGCGCCGCCTGGCATCAACCCATGGCGCAGCATTGGGTATTCTCAGGGTATAGGGGTTAGCGTGAGGGAATTGGGGTTGAGGGTTTTACGGGGTTAAGGGTATGGGTTACGTCTGTTCGAGGTTCAGAGTAATCTATTCGGGTAATGCGAGAAGAGGGGGAGCCAATGATGAGGGTTTTGGAGTTTGAGGCACGGAATCGCGCGGTTGGGGCATGAGGGTTGAAGGTTGATTGCGGCATGAGGGCTGTGGGGCTCTCTCAGAGCCTCTATCTTACTGGGACTTGAAGCGTTGTTCTTAAAGCTCCCACCTCAACCATCACGTGTCTACTGAAGCGGTCCTGCTTTGATCCATACTCCCCGACCATGGAAGCCATACCCTAAGTACCCCAAGCCGAGTCACTGAGCTTGATCCAAGGCAGCCCGAACCCTCAACCTGACACCTAGAACCCCGTAGACATACAAAAGAGTATACAATTACAACATATACTGTTATATAATGTAGAGCGGGATGGTGTACTAGGATATGCTGCAGCAAAATGTAGTATGATACTCCCAGGCCGAACCCTTGTTCTATAGGGTCTTGCACTAAAACTCTCAAGCTCCATCACATCCACATGTTGTCAAAGAAGACCTCGGTGCGCTTTCTGCAATAAGTACGGTAGTGAGGATCCTCCTGGTCAATGTCTATGTTGGGGTCCCTCATTGACAGAGACTGCTATATTTCTACGCATCCTTCTCTTGAAGGTGCAGCACTAAAATCCAGCTCGGAGTCTGCCCCTAAACCCTAAATCCTAAAACCGAAACCCAAAAGCCCAAACCCCTGAAGCCTGAAGCCGAGCCCCAAATCACAAAACCTAAACCCAAAGCTTGGGCTGGCTCTGAGTCGGGATCAGGCCCGGGGTTCGAAGACATCGAATTCTGCTGGCGCCTGCGAGAAGAGCGAGGCGTCTACACCAGGCAGGGCACAGGGTTGAGGCTCCCTAAGTATTTCTGTTATACTGTTAACTACTATCCTGTACTATGCTACACCATATGATATTATTCTCTACTGTACTACATCATATTTCACTATCCTAAGGAAGCCAGACAGTTGGAACATCATTGTCCTCATGCCCTTGAAGGTAAAGTATAGGGAATCACGGCACTAATCATCCTTAATCCATGTCCCAACTTTCTGCCAAGCCCTAAATCCTAAACCTTGTGGAACCTTACGGTTGTGTTGCTTGTCAGGGTTGCAGCTTGCAACCTCTTACAGGGTTTGCAGACTTGCATGAAGGTTGTGAGATGTGATGTCAGCACCATCGGGGTTCAGGTCTTGAGGTAGGTTTGGTACCGAATCTCCAGGTATTGCGACGATGCCAAGATGTTCCATCAGTACGATCGCGGCCCTGTTGGGTTGTACAAGCAGTTCTGGAAGTATGGACACACTGCTCCTTGGTACCTTTGTATTGCTTTTGTCAAGATA